CAAATAAAACAAATTTTTCAAAGAAGCTGGATAAGGTCTGAAGGCTGAAGTTCACCGAAAGTTATTGTCACATTTACATAATTACATCTAACTATTTGGACAATGCACCTTTTCTTTGAAGTCAATCTTATGGATTTGCTAAAATTGTACTCATACTCATTTCTGAATATTTGTAATAGTTGATGATGTTGGTTTGTAATAGTTGATGATGTTGGTAAGTATAAAACTTAAGAGGCAAGGCAATGGTATAAATGAACCTATGAATCGCTAGAATGGGTATAGGTACTGGTAGTCTGGTACAATAACAACCCAGCATAATCCCAACTTTGTTGAGATGCTCTGGGGGGTTTAGGTACTCGTACAGTGATCATATGGTCGTTTACCAACTAGAAACTAGATTTTCTTTCTGTTTTTTGAAAACTTGACATTGAAAATATGTTTGCAATGCATTCAAAAATCAGAAAAAAAATCAGTAACATCTTACATCACTCAAGTTCCCACCAAAAACATGCAATACCCATATGTGCATTGTCTATCTCTTAGACAACCAGCTTAGTCAGCATCACAATATCCCACACTATTGTTATGGCCTTTATCTTCATATTGTTCTAGTGTTTTGTTGATGTGCCGTAGAACTTGTATAACAACATTGGAGTTATCTTTACATGGTTTATCAAGGAATCAACTGATTACTCGTATGGTAAATGCCTGGCCTTGTGATAGTGATCATGAGATAATTCAATTTTCCATATCAGAGTGGCTCCTCCTTTACCGGTAGGAGTTTAATGTAAAGACCCATAGGTGTATCCACGAGTCTACTAGCCAACATACTTGTTTCTTCGAGAATATCCACATCATATTTCCTTTCGGAGAGAACAGTACCATCACAAGATTGTAGAATTTTGATGCCCAGAAAGTATTGCAACTTTCCCAAGATATATACCTATTGCTTCCAACATTTACACTTTGGTTAAAAACTACAATATCATTGACTGAATGTAAATATGTAATCCTATAACATTGAAGCTATCTCCATGGACTTGATGAGAGGAGATGGCTTAAGCAGATAGGTTATTTCATTTGCTATACGCACTTATAAAATCTTTGACTGAACTTTAGTGTCTGGCTTCACAGAATTTAAGAAAAGTGTTGGAAAATGAAATGTCTAATTGAAATTTGTTTAGAGGAGAGATAAAGATTGTGAGGAATGTGAGCCACACATTTGTTTAGAGGAAATGAAAGGAGTGTGAAGGTTGTTTTGAGACAATGAAAAAAGAAAATGTGAAGTTTTTTTTGCGAGACAGAGAGAGTTTGAAATATTTAATCCATTCCAATTTTTATTAATGTCAATGCTCCTTGAAATGTCATTTTACGTAAGTACTCCAATTTTTCAAAATTACCATTGTTATTCCAAGAATTTAATTTTTTAAAAAATAATTCCGGCCTTTTGCTTAACTCGAGCAAAAACAAATCGTTAAAAGTAGAACTAAGACCGGAAGAACTTACCGGACGTGTATTTTTTGTTCAGGTAAGAACAATAAACCTCAAATTAGGACTTTCGGCTGGTCGTGGTGTGATGTCGTGAAATCTTGGGGTATTTATGTAAAATGACATATTTATGTGAGCATTGACATGAATTTTTCTTTTGTTAATTAGTGACTTGTTCCTCCAACAGAATATTTGTGGCATTTGTCATTGGGCTATAAATGTGGGGTGTGGCATTTGTCCTTGGCACATCAGAACACACCAAACTTGAAAATTTGCTGGCTGCATCAACCCCAATTAGCAAATATATGAAAAAGTGTCATTTTCTTTAATAAATGTTATTATGAATAATCTCAGTGCACCTAAACTCTTTGCAGGCAGCAAAGGAATTTGAAACAGAGCTGAAGAAGGAACCTGATTCTCCACCTGACCCACATGCTGAAGTTGAAGAACATGGCCAAGAAAATAGCAAAGAAACTTAGTAAAATGCGACAACGATCCCTTCATTTGCTGCTGCTACTAGTTTTGCTAGCTAGATAAGTCGTTCACTGTGGATTATTAGTCATATTTACTACACATTGCCTTGTCAGCTTGCTTGTGGAATATACAGTATGTGGTTTTATTGGTTGAGTTCTTCTTACAGTATAATAGTAGATCACTCTGTTCACTCACTAGCTACTGAGGCTTTTCTTTATTTTCACAAAATCATTGTGTTATTTAATGATTCCAATGTTACTTCATGTGGTTTTAATGGGTCGTTGGTTCTTGAGTTACTGGGTACAACTCTTGAGTCCTTGACCGTTGACATTTGTGGCTCATTAGGTCCACTTCTTTTGGGTTTGAAAAATTAGGTAACTTTTAACTTTTTCCTATTCTTAGTTTATTTCCAACTCTTTTCAATTTTTTTCAACAACATAAAAAAGAAATTTATATATGATCAATATACAATAACATAACATATCTAAATTTAAAACATACAACTTCAATCATAGACAATGTTGAGTTCTTTTTTTAAATCCAAAATTAGAGTTTTTTTACATATTTATTTAAATGATCATTTAATTCTTTTGGAGGGTGATTATTTAATTGAGTTGCTTTTAACACTTTAACTCTTTCAACATTTTTTAACTCTTTCAGTTTTTTCTAACTCCTTTCAATATTTTTTATATCTAAGTCTGAAATTCAACCCAAAAAACAGGGCTCTCTCAGGAGAAATTTCCTCACTCAAACTTTTTTAGAAACCAATTTGGTTACACCAAAAATTGTACCTCATTTCTACACCAAAGGTATATACCAACATTTTGATGGTTCACACTGATACAAAGTGTTAGTGCGTTAACAAAAATTTACACCGACACAAAGTGTTGGTGTGTTAACAAAAATTAATATTATATTAACACAAAATGTTAGTGCACACCTACAATGTACAAATGGGGTAACCCTTGGGTAGAAATAATTTATCCAAACAATTTAATCAGTCGAACATTTGCATGTAGTTCATACGCTTGTTTTTAATTAATCATATGCGAAAACATCCTATCTTTTTTTTTTCTATTTTGTACTTGTAACGTGTCTCATCATTCATGCACTTAATATTCAAGTTTTTTAGTGACTGCAATTCAAGTTTTTTGATGACTTACACTCTCCTGAGTTCTTAAGTAAGATTTGTGCTTCCCGAGTACCAAATCATGAGTTAACTTTGAAGGTAGGCACACATATGATATTGTTGAAAAATATTGATCATTCATTAGGTTTATGTAATCATACACGGTTGATAGTAACTCGGTTTGCTAATCAAGGAAAGGTATTATCTAGAAGACACGTGGGTGAAGAAGTCGTTATTCCAAGACTATCATTGACATCATTCGAGACAAGAATTCCATTCAAGTTTCAAAATTGTCAATTCTCTGTGTATACTTCGTACGCAATGGTGATTAACAAGAGTCCGGGGCAATCTCTAAAACATGTTGGAATATTGTTACCGAAACCGGTATTTAGTCATGGACAACTGTATGTTGCAGTTTCAAAAGTAACAAATCGTAGTGGCTTGAAAATTCTGATGTGTAACGAAGATAATGTTCCAACTAATTGTACGAATAATGTAGTTTATAAACGAGTCTTTTGAAATTAGTAAAACAAAATACTTTTGTACCTTAAAATAATAAAATATCTATATTCTATTAGACATCATCATTTCGTATCTTTCAAAAATGATCTTAAATTAGTAACATAAATATGACTCGTACAACGCACGGGTGTGATGCTAGTTATAATAATAATACGACAAAAAGGAAATCCCTTTAGAGTAAGTTTTTGAATATTTTAAGGTAGCTCAAAGTATATTTTGGAAAATGATGGGACTCGAAAGTTCTAACCAAAAAATTGGGGGTACTCAACAATAATTTTTGGGAAGAAAAGAAGAAGAAAAGATAACAGAGCACATGAGTATGACGACGAGAAATCAATGAAAAGTCATTCCGGAATTAGTTTTCAAATAAAATTTAAGGTACTGCGGAGAATACTTTGAAAAGTTATGGACCAGTGAGTTGTTACCACAAAACAGGAAATACCTGCCAGTAATTTTTTTGAAAATTTTGCCTCATCACCCCACTCCCCCCCCCCTCTGCGTGAATCAAGTGGACTGCCCACGACATTATAGAATTGGTACTTGGTAGCAAGCAACAAATGTAGGCGTGAACACGGTCCGTGTTGGTTTAGTATTTTTAAAGAATCCGTACCATATTGTTACTATTCAAACGGTTCAGTACAGTTTTGATTTTACGCCTAAACCATTATGTACAATGTCGTTCGGTAACGGGATGGTACCATGCCAAATCATTTCATAATACTTCGACAACATTTTAAAGTATTTTTATTTATAACAAACAACCGATAAAATTAAAAAAATATACATTCTTAGTTTCTTACCCAACAAGTGTATAATTGTTTAGTTACAATTTTTGAAAAAACTTAAATTTAAGTTCGCTCTTCCAACAAATAAAATTATAATTCGAGTTGTACTTCAAAATTAACAAATGAAAATATGTAATTATTTATTAATTTAATATTTTAGTGATAACGGTTTAGTTCGTTATTTTTGCTGTTAATTTTTGGAAACATGTCCCGTACCACTTTGAAAATGGTACAGTTCGATTCGGGATATAATATACTAAAATCATTTAAAAACTTGCTTTTTTGTTTGGTACAATATCGGTCTGGTTCGGAACAATGTCGGGCCGATATTTTTGCTCACCCTTATACTCCTCCTTTTACTATTCTCCTTTTTCTTTTCTCCCTCTTTCCTTGAATTATCTTAAAGATTATTTTTTCTCGGTCAAAAGTTTTTAACTTAGGCCATAAAATATGGGGGAAAAATTGAGTTATGATATACCGAGTAAATAATATCAATCATTCATTTTGAAATAAAGTTTTAAAATATCATATTTTTATAATACAAAGTTATACTTCCTCCGTCTTAAAATAATTTTATTAGTTACTATTCACATGGTCTAATTTTATTCATTTTTTTGTTTACATTCATTAATCGTTTGATAAAATAATATAGTCGTGTCACCTCTAGTTTTGTAAAACTTTTGATTTATTTTTTAAATATATAAAGTAAATTTTTAAATTTTATACTTATAGTCAAATAAATTGAATTGAAAATTGATTTGGTCAAATATCGTAAATTGAAACGAGAAATTAATTTTAATACAATATATATATATATATATATATATATATTGGTTCTGGTGAGAATGCGATCTTAGGAGAGAAATAAGAATGAATCTGGTGCTTTAGATTGTGCAATCTAAGGGTTAGGATTACATCAAAATTAAGTGCAACAAAATGATTTGAAAATGCACTATCTCAAAATCTGAGCGCAGGATGCAATCTGAGCCGCACGATGCATCAGATCCAACGGTTAGATTTCATTCTCATTTCTCTCCACAAGGTGCATTCTTACAGGAATTGGCCCCTATATAGATATATATATATATATATATATATATATATATATATATATATATAAAGATATTAATAATCAAAGTAGTATATTAGAGATTATAAAAGAACAAAGAGAAAATAAATTACTCCCTCCGTCCTGATTCTTTCTTTCCAGTTTGACTTTTCCCCATTTTTAATTTTTGGCTTTGACTTCAAATTTTACCCTCTTTAAAAAAGATTTTTTGAATTTTTTTTTTGCAATCATTCAAAATATAGAGTTAGAAGATAATTGGTATAAATACATGAAGGTATTAATGTTATTTGTCATCTTTTTTTTTAAATGAGAAAGTAGTTTTAGGAGGAAGAAAAAAGAAGTAATAGAATGGAGGGAGTATTAAATCTATGCACTGCAATCCAACCAAACTAGAAGACCAAAGTCCTAATTTTTTAGGTTTGAATTATAATTTTATTTTATTTTGTTGAACGAAGGGCCTAAAAACCAAACCCTTAAAACTGAATTGTATTCACGAAGAAGACCAACGATTTCTAATTGAAGATGATCTAAAGGGAAAATGGGTGAATTTCTACACGGCTAAAATGCAATTATGTAAAAGAATAAAGTGAAATGTGAAGTTGAAGTATTGATGTTGCAGGAGCAAAGGAAATGGAGGCTAGAAAGGGAATGCTGATGGAAGGGATAGCGTCCATCGCACTTTTATCCAGTGGATCCATCTCTGGACACTTTATCCAGCTTCCAGAGTCTATCTGCTATGGCCTTCACGGCACCGGTATACTTACTCTTCAAAATATCCGCTGCTACTGTTTCCTCCAGCCAATCTAGTGCCCCTCACGATTTTTCTTTATAAATTATATTTAAAATGTTTGAACTCAGAATTTGTTACTAAAGTGGAAATGAGCATGTAATCAGAATGCAGTTCATTGGTGTGATAGTACATGCCATACTCAAGTACATGCTTCTGAATTGTTGTTACTCGAGGATTCTTATAATGCTATTGTCTAGATGTGTTGAGTTTAGCATTCTAGATAATTGTTTCATCCATGGGTTGATATGATAGGAAAGTAGAGTTCTTTTTTCTAATGCATGCAGACATGTAAGAGTATTTTATATAATCAATTTTGTGTAGATGTGTTTTGCATCCTTTGATTTCTTAGAACTGAAGCTGCAATAAAATTAATCTAAGTTGTTTTGGGAATGGGATAAAATGTGTCTCTTTTGCTCTGTAAAGAGTTGGCTTGTGAAAGGGAGTGCAGTAGAGGGGAGGATTATCGCTTGATCAAACTTACGGTCACAGACTTTAAAGTAAGTGATACATGACACCGAGCTGCAAATTTTATTGATCTATGACTCTTTGAAATTTAACCACCTAAAAAATGAGGATTGATTGACTTGCCTGTGATAATTATGAAGTTATGATATCCAATGTTTACTTTGTGTTTGTCAAACTTGGTCATTTGCAGACTATGAGAGAACGGGATGTTATAGTGGAATGCAAAGGACATGATGCTGCTAGGCTAAATAATATTGAGCATGCTCATGGGTGAGTTGCTTTGGTCCTGAAAGATTTGACATGGAGTCCACTCTGGGTGGGCCTCTTCAGCTCTGAAGCTGCTTCCCTTTATATCTTCCTTTGTTTTTTTTAATCTTTTCGCGGACAGGTGGGAAAATGATGTTATGAATTTGCTTGAAGAGAAATGCCGAAAGGGAAACATTTTTGTTTCTTTTGAGTGTGAGACACTAAAAGCTGACAAAGAAGCAGAGGATCATATCAGCAAGTGCATGCCCAAATTAGTAGGGATGGAGGCTGTTGGTGAGTTGTCTATACACTCTTATTTCCTTTACGAAACCGAATTTAAGCTTATCCATAATTCCAAGCACTTTTTCTTATTTTAAACAATGTATTTTGATGTGTTTATACAAGAGTCTATGGCTATTAAACCAATTCTAAGTTTCCTTAGTAAGCAACTTTGAGGAGCTTATAACAATAAGATGAATGTGTCATTTCAATTGAACAACAAAAACAACAATAATCAGCATCGTCATCATCATCATCTTAACTCCAATTAGTTGGGCTTGGTGCTAAGATAGTGTTAAATAATTGTCAAAACTAAATATATCAATGCAAAATGAAGCGACTTTTAGACACTTGAAAATAGCTAATTCAAAATGTGTTTTTCTTACGAATGCTTAATTGAATTTTAAGAATTTATATCTAATACTAGCCCTGGATGCACATCGTGCGAGTGGTGCCCAAAAGAGTGCTAGATATTCATTAATCAAAAGAGCCTCTATTTTGTTAGATTTATCTATGCTGCAGATCGACCTGCAGTTTTAGTTACTACATGAAAGATTCACTACATGGAAGATATACATATGGTGGCTTCTGCACAAGTTAAAAAAACAAAAATAGCCACAAAAAAAAACATACCTGGGCATATCTAAGTTCACGGGGATGGGATAAAATGAAGCCTGTTCTGTTTTCTCTTTTTTTTTTTCCGTTGCGATCCATGGGGTCATTGTTGTTTGCAGATTAGACGAGTTTCTTTTTTGAGCTTGTATTTTTTCCTGAAGCAGATAAAAAATGACAATAGAAGTCAAGGTGTTTTTCTCTTTCATTATAAGCAACCTAAATGGTCCATTTTAGAATTTTAGCTTTTTTTATTTGTATGCTAAGTGGCCCATTTTAGATCTTTTATTTTTTTTAAGTTTTCTTACTCCCTCCGTCCCACAAAAAAGTTCCCATTTTGACCATAAATTGGTCAAACAGTTATACGCTTTGACCATAAATTAAATATAATCTAAATAATGAAATGCTAAAAAAATTTGAGATATCAAAACTAGATCCTAAGATGAATCCAATTATATTAAATTTATTTTATAATTCAATATACTTTTCTCACAATTTGTAGTCAAAACGTGTAAATATTTGACTAAATACTATTCAAAATGGGAACTTTTTGGTGGGACAGAGGGAGTATTCTTTTACTTTATGTTCTAAGTTTGTTATTTTTGGCTTTGTGTTCCGCTCAGCTTGAGGGAACGACAATCAAAGAAAAAAATACTGAACTTAAAATAATTATTTGTGAGAATAGGATTTTTCTTTAACAAGGTTTAGTAATATGAAAATGACTAAAAAACCACTGCCATGTTTAGAACACCAATGCATTTCTTTTAACTCAAAATTAAAGTGGTGAATTATAGTAGCATTTACAACTCTGTTGCATATGGTCACCAAAAAAGAAGAAGAAAGCCAGAAAGTGTAGAACAAGAAATACATCAAAGTAAAACAGATTAATCTAAAATCAAGATAACAAAAGAAATGTAAGAAGCACTAAATGTGATGCAAGATTAGAAACTCTAGGCTAAAGAATAATAATGATGCATATGCTTATGAAATTTAAAACAAGGTCAATTAACTTTATCTAATTACATTTTTCTGTATGCTAATTAAAGACAATAAAACCATCAGGAAGATTTTAAAGTATTGAAATTTATGCTTAACAATCGAATAATGACCTAATAGGGTTTTAAGTCTTTCAACTGTTGCACTACACCATTCAATGGGTTCACATGCCATAGGTAAATCAAGCTTACTTGATAGTAATGATACATCAAATGTGCATACTATGTAGTTAAATTTAAGAGTAAAATAGAATCCTCTCTTTTTATCTCTAGCTTGTGGGATCCAACTGGATTGTTGTTGTTTTTAATTCCACATTTGGAGCATGCTTACCAACAATTAGAACTATTTCCTCTATTTGTATTCAGTTGTCCATTTTTCTTTTTGTTTGTCGAAATTGAATTACTGGTCTATGATTATTTTAAAATACAGAGTAATAAATTATCTAAAATTTTGAAAAAAAATATGAAATATTTATAGAAAGTGGACAATTAAATGTGGTTGGTTAGAATAATCTTCTGATGGGGAGTCATTAAGAGAGGATGAGCAGTAACTTCATTTTTAGGTTGGCTTCTAGCTAAAAATATCTCTTCTTCTTGATCCGAGTGGAAGTCTGAAGCTAGCCACAATTGGAGTTGTGTGCGGAATGCAATAATGAAGACACCTATCTCTTCACAAGTAAGAAAATACGGAGTATAAGATATCCCAAAAAGTGAAAGCATAGTTCTAGACAGTAAGGATAATTTTAAACACCACAGTCACAGTCCAAAGGGAGCAGTAACCGCAAGAAAAATGGGGAAAACAATAACAAAAACACGTATAGATGAATTAAAGTAAATGTCCTAAATCATTAGATCCAGCTAATGTGAGAGGAAGATCTATTTACGCCACAGATCAAAATGTCTAGACAAGTAGAAACCCTTAACCCTTGCTTTAAAATTGGGGGTCTTTCAAGATTTGATTAACAACGGGGACCTTTCAGCCTTTGATTAAAAACAGAAATGCTTGAAACCCAAATCCAATTACTCTATCAACGCCCACCAAACCTTAAATTATGAACTTACACTTTGCATAGTGTCTCAGTTCCGCATTAGGAAAGAAGATGCATAACTTTCAATCTGCGCATATGAGGGATAAATCGAAGCTAAATTCCTCTTCTTCCCCGCATGAATCCCCCTGAGAAGGCAGCTGCGACACTGATGGGTGAAAGACGGAAAGGTGTTCAATTAAAAAAGGCATGGAGGTAGAAGTGTAAAAAGCATTCTTTGGGGCATAAAAAGTGTTGGCTTCTTTCCGTTAAATTAGTGGACGGATACAAACAGAAAAAGGACCAAAAAAGGTGACGGTAACTTCTTAGCCCCTTAAATGTTAGGGTAGATCTGGACTTCAGTGGCTGGGCCAAAATGTTGAAGCTATATATCAATCCAAAATGAACTTTTTAAATATATTTTGTTGTTTTATTTTGATGCCTAGGTTCTTTATTGTGAGGATCAATTCACATGCTATTCCCAAGGTGTTAGTTTCAGCTACCTTGTGTTTGTCATTAAGAGATATGGCAAGATTGATGAGGATGTTGCTCATTGTATCAGGTGGGTAAGACGAAGTGATGGCTCGCGTATGGTGTGACAAGTGTGTACCACTACAATCGAAAGGTAAGTTTTATAGAGCCACAGACAAGAAATAGTATCTTTGTATTTTACATGGGTAAGGTTGCATACATATGCATACCCAATTCCCAAACGCCTATGAAGTTGAGATTATACTGGGTTTGTTATTGTTGGTTAGACCAGCTACGTTGTATGGGTTGAATGTTGGCCAGGGAAGAAAACCCACACGCAGAAGTTGAGAGTGGTAGAATTAAGGATGCCAAGGTGGATGTGCTTCTCAGTAGATGGGATAGAGTTAGACATGAGGAATTTTTGTACATGATTGGAGTGGTGTCCATGGATGATAAGACGTGTTTGGTTGAGGTCAATCGGGCACGTGGATAAGGGCAATGACACTCCCTTGAGGAGGTGTGAGAGGCTGGGCATTGGGAGTTTGGGGAGAGGAAAGGGCAGATCAAAGAAGAATTAATGTGATGCGATTAGGCAGTACATGTTGCTTCTACAGTTCAGGAGAACATGACAATACTACCATAGACATGAGAGTGAAGCGCAGGGATTAAAATAGTAGGTTAGAAGGGCTTTCTTTGTTACCCGAGGGGCAAAAATAGGCAGCAAAGTATTTTCTAATGGTGTCAATAATGTGATGTCCATGAGAGAACTTCTCGATCAACAAACAACTATGCAACTTGGTCTAATAACTCATTTCAGCTTTATTGAACAATATGCTGGACGTTCCCCTATGCAATATTGACCTTTTCTCCTTGATCATAACATTGGGCATAAGACTATAATAAAAGAATTAGGAGATGACTTTGTAGGAAAGATATTTAGTTAAGCCAAATTGGGACCGGCTACCACTTGCAAAGTGGGCTGTGTATCTGGCCGACCTGCGGGCTGGCCTGGGTCACCTTGAATCATTTTTGTATAGGGATATTGCTTACTCAGTTTTTGACCCAGTTGACCAGGCTGTTAAGTCTTAACCTTGCTTCTGGACTAGAGGATTATCCGGGTCCTACCCTGAAATCCTAAATGCAGCTGCCCTAGTTTCTGACACATATGTGCTCCATAGCGCATATATTGAATCACTAGACTCGGTTTCTACTCCATAGTTGCGTTGACACGACAAACTACTACGGAAAAAGGCCACATGTGGGGCTGATGCGACTCCGCCCTGAGGTTTTCTTGCTCGTGATAGTCCCCACAATCATGGAGAAGGATGGTGCAGCCTTAGAAATATTAATTAGACACATGAGGGGTTGAGAACCTCACCGTTGAGGTTCCCTGAGCTGCTAGAATTCCACGCGAAGGGTGAGACTGTTTCCAAATTTCTATGTTCCTGGAGCATTATCTCTTAGATTAGGAATGTTTGGGTGATAGATGATTGAGCATTTGGCGCAGGGAAAAAAGCTCTCTACTTGTAGGATTAATCATTTTGCTCAGGGGGAAAAGCCCTCTATTTTAGGATTGATCTCCACCAACTAACTGCAAATAGGTCTATTACCCCAACGCACATCTTAGTTAATCTAAACATTGTAATATAAATTCTGCGAGGGTATATCTAGCACTGGTTTTTTGAGATATCAGATGCTGATTATTTCATTTTTCTAGTAAATGTCATCAGACTTAACTAAGATGTTCAGCCCTAGTTATTTAGGAAAACTTTTACTAGGCCCTAGATCCCGCCAGCCACTGCCTTAGTCACCGCCGGCCTCCAGCCCTACTCAACACCCCAACTCAACCCTAAACAGAAGACCAGCCGTCGTTGCCCTAGACCCTGTCATCCCAGCCCCTCCCTTACTTTAGCCGCACCCACCACCATCATCCGGCACCCTGCCAACCCAACCTTTTTCTGCCACCACCACCTCAGCCTACTTCTACCCTCTGTTTTTTTTTCGCTTATTCCCTTTTCGCTGATTGTATTGGCTACCCTTCATTATTTATTTAGTTTTGCATTTAACTATAGCTTTATCATTGTATTTGTTGCCTGTTTTTTTGGCTGCTTTTTTCTTCTGGTAGGTGCTGCTCTGCTAGCATAGTGGCATTGGTTAGCAATGTAGACTTAAAGGTCATATCCTGGGGCTAGGGAGGGCGAGGGGGAGGTGTGGAGGGGTAGGTCTTTAGTGCGGTTCGGCTCGTGGAACATAGGGACCCTCACTGGTAAGTCAATTGAGTTGGTGCAAATTCTCAAGAGTAGAAAGATTCAGTTGGCATGTGTGCAAGAGACAAGATGGGTGGGCACCAAGGCACCAGAAGTGGACGAGTTTAAGCTGTGGTATTTCGGTTTGGCTAGGAGAAGGAACAAAGTGAGTATTATGGTGGCACCAGAACAACGGGAGTTACTGGTAGAGGGTTAGTGATTGGTTGATGACTATCAAGCTAGTTTAGGGTGAATGTGCTATGAATGTTGTGAGTGCATATGCCCCTCATGCTGGCTTGGAGGACGAAGTTAAGAAGGAGTTTTGGGATTCGCTAGATAGGGTTGTATGCAGTTTTTCGTAGACGGAGAAAGTCTTCATTGGAAGAGACTTTAATGGACATATTGGGGACTTGACTGAGTGCTTCGAGGAGGTGCAAGATGGGAATGGGAACACGACAGGTGTTGCACTCTTGGAGTTTGCTAAAGCAAGTGATTTGGTGGTCGCTAACTCCGGCTACCCCAAACGGGAGGATCATTTGTTTGGTAACCTTTGTTAGTAGAATGGGGAGGATTCAGATCGATTACTTCTTTCTGCGCAGGTGTGATCAGGTCCTCTTGTGAGGACAATAAAGTACTGAGTGAGAACCTTACCACTCAGCACGAGCTACTGGTGATGGATGTCATGATCAAGTGAGTGAGGCCTAGACGAACAAGTGAGGGATTTGGTGGTCGCTAAACACCAGCTACTTGTGATAGATGTCATGATCAAGTGAGTGAGGCCTCGACGAACAACAAGTGAGTGATTGTGTGGTCGCTAACTCCTGCTTCCCCAAACGGGAGGATCATTTGGTTACCTTCGTTATTAGAATGGGGAGGATGTAGGTTGATTACTTCTTTCTACGCAGGTGTGATCAGGTCCTGTGAGTAAGAACCTTGTGAGTAAGAACCTTACCACTCAACACCAACTACTACTGATGATGGATGTCATGATCAATGTTCAAAATTGTGTATTGCGGTTTTGGGGCGGTTTTATTCCAAGGCATATTGTGTAAGCTTCAAGGCATTTTGAGCCGTAAGCCTCAATTTTAAAGTTTAAAAATGTCCATTTAAGTGGCAGAGACTACTAGTACATGGAGAAAAGATGCAACATACTCCATATATAGTATAAAAAAGGTCGACGATACAACTAGTAAAATAAACACTGGCAGACTAGCAATAAGCATAAAATAAAAAATAATTAAATAAGTAAATAATGATATATGGAGTTAAGAAAAACAGTACAATGAAGTACGAAGAGCCTTATCAATCAAAAGGCAGAGCCTTACCAAAAAGCAAAAAATTAGGTCTATAAACGAGAGATATAAACGATGATGGTAGAAGATGACTCACCTGATGTAGATGATGACAATTGACGAGTATGGAAGATGGCGATACTAAAATTAGGTCTATAAGATACGATCAGATCAGGTACATATGTTGAAATTTTTTTAATTGACTGATTGAACCTTAATCTAAAAAAATGGGAACAAATATTGCTTACACCTCAAATCCCGCCCCAGTGCGTAAGCTTTATTGTGTACGCAATCTTGCGCAATCGATAGAAACACATATAGCGTATGGCGAGATACGCCTTATTGCGTATTTTCTTGGAAACGTTTCAGAGGCTAGCCTCATGGCGGGTTTCCGCCTCGCCATATAGAACATTGGTCATGATCAAGTGAGTGAGGCCTAGACAAACAACAAGTGGTCTAGTACGTATCCAGTGGAGGAGCCTGGTAGGGTGCAAATCCCATAGTTGATTACACGAGCCTAGATGGGTGCATGGCACTGTGTCAGGGAGGCTACAAACATGTGGGCTCAGACTGCTAACCAGCAAAGCCGCCATAGAGGTATTGGGTGTGAGTTGTGGTTCTTGGAGTCTACGTAAAGGTGATTGGTAGTGGAGTGCTGTGGTTCGGGGAAGGTGGAAGCTAAGAAGGTGGCATATACGAGGTTTGTGGATTGTAGTGAAGAGGAGGATAGGGCGACTCTTCGAGCAGAGTTTAAGATTGCTCGTAAGGAGGCTAAGTTAGAGGTTACGAGGGAAAAGAATGCTGCTACACCTTTATAAGGACATTTAGGAGCAGGCAGTGATAAGAGACTTTTCCGGCTGGCTATGGCACGTGAGAGGGGGGGCCCGTGATCTGGATCATGTGAGATGTGTGAAGGGAGGTGATGGTAGAGTGTTGTTTGAGATTGTTGAGGTTGCTAATGGATGGGGGGAGTATTTCTATGGCTTGCTGAATGCGGGAGAAGATCTGAGGCTAGAACTAGGTGAGCGGGCGCAGTCCGAGACACATCAAGACTTTGGGTCTTGCCGGCGTTTTAGTCAGGACAAGGTGGCCCGGCCATCCGCGGAATAAGAAGTGGGAGAGCCTTGGGCCAACTAAGATCTTGGTGGAGTTTTAGAAGTTTGTGCGCTGCAGTGGGTTACTTTGGTTATTAAGAAGTTGGAGAGCCTAGGGCCAACTAAGCTCTTCAATGTTATTTTCAGGACAATAGAGATGCCGGACGAGTGGAAGGAGAGTGTGTTGGTCCCTCTGTTTAAGGGTAAGGAGACGTTTAGAGCTGCGAGAATTGCAGAGGCATCAAACTACTTAGTCACACCAAATAAAGGTTTGGGAGTGCATCATCGAGTATAGGTTACGTAAGGTTTTTTTAGAACCAGTTTGGTTTCACCTCCTGTGGAGGTCGATCAAAGAGTATAGGGCTAAGAAGAAAGATCTTCGTATGGTGTTTATTGACCTCAAAAAGGCGTACGATAGGGTGTGGAGGTGTCTCGAGGTGTCTTGATGTGAGAGGGGTGACGATTGCATACATTCATGTAGTCAAAGATATGTACGGCGGCGGGGCAAGGACTAGGGTAAAGACTGTCCGGGACTTTTCTCTGTGGAGGTGGGGTTACATCATATATATATATGCCCTTAGCCCTTTCTTGTTCGCTCTAGTGATGGACGTCCTAACGCAAGGAGTTCAAGGGATGATGCATGCTTTTTGTTGACGATACTGTGCTTATCGACAACTCCCATGAGGGACTAATCAAGTTGGAACTTTGACGCCTTTCCCTGGAATCTAAAGGATTCGAACCAAGACTGAATACATGAAATGTTGTTTTAATGACCGAGAGACAGAATTACGGGTGGAAGTTAGTATTGATTCAAACCCAGTGTTGAAGGTAGACAAGTTTCAGTGTCTTGGCGCGATAATTCAGCCGGATGAGGAGTTGGACAGAGAAGTTGTGCATCGTGTGGGAGCAGCTTGGGCTAAGTAGAGGTTGGCATCTTGTGATAAGAAGGTTTTGGCTAAGATGAAAGGTAAGTTATATTGGTCCGTAGTCAGGCCAGCTATGATATATGGTGCAAAGTGCTGGGTACTTGAGAAAACTCATGTTCGTCAATTGCATGTGGCTGAGATGTGGATGCTGCGGTGGATGAGTGGGAAGACGAGGATGGATAGGATTCGTAACGAGGTTATTCGAGGACAGGTAGGCGTGGCTCATGTGGAGGATAAGCTACGGGAAGCTAGGCTGAGGTGGTTTAGGCACGTGAAGGGAGGAGTTCTGACGCCCTTGTGCAGAGATGCAAGAAACTTATGTTGGAAGAAGGTGATTAGTCTGGATCTAAGACTTCTTGCCCTTACTGAGGATATGACCTTAGATATGAGCGTGTGAAGAGCTAGGATTAGGGTAATCGTGGTAGGTGTTCTGGACTTAGTGGTAGTTTCTCCACTTGTGTGCTTTGTTTGTTTTGTATCCTTGGTGCTCTTTGCTTGTCTTGTTTTTGTTTTATTTACTACCTCCGAGTATTTGTCCAGTTTTGACTTTTTTCGGTCAACTGTTTTCAACCTTTGACCTATAATTAAATACAATATATATTGTATTTTAATTAAGTAAAATAATATTTTGAAAATACTTGATATAATAAATCTAATAAAACTCTTTTTGTATCAATATCTAATATCATTTTTATTTAATTTGAGGTCAAAGTTTACCAATTTTGATAAAAAAAAAGTCAAAAGTGGACAAATACTAGGGAACAGAGGGAGTAATTAGTTTGTTCTTGGCTACTGTGTGTGCTTTTTGCTATCTTTGCTATATATGTCCTCTGTGATCTTGTTTTATCTATATTGTTTGAGCCACGGGTCTCTTGGAACAGTCTCTCTACTCTTGAGTACAGGCAAGCTCTGCGTACGCACACCCTCCACAGACCCTACACTCATGGGATCCAACTAGATTGTTGTTGTAATTGTTGTTGTTTTAACTAGGGCCGTTTATGGTTTTTTATTCAGTTCTTCGATTTGGATTTTGTCCATGAATTGTTCAGGTTAAGTACTACCACTAATTTGTACTTTTCTTAACCATGAGTTGAGAAAATTTACAAGAACGCTTTACAATTAATACTACATGTGAAGTATATAAAAATAGTTTTCATCATGAAACAAGTCACGAAGTAGCAAAAACTGCCTTCTACTACTAGCAGTGCAATTTGGTTTTGTAAATTGTTCCGACTAGGTAGCTAGCCTCCTCGGGAGATTATAGGGTGGATGTGCGAGTACATGCTGTTGTGCAACACCAGTCAAAGAACCTAGTGAATACTATGCCTCTTGTTGAACGGATTGACCATATCTAACAGTGAAAAATGAGATCTCCTAAATGCCTGCCTATTCGTCATCTATGTAATTGTACGGATATCCTTCACTCATTTACTCTGTTTCACTAATATATTTCAAATGTGTTATTTCCTTTTCCATGTTTGTTTTTGGCATTTGATGTCAAGATGAGAGCACATGTCACAGTCCATTCAATTACTATACATTGAGACGTTCAAGATAGTAAAAAGTTAGACATTTAAAAAAATAGAAAATACAATTATTATATTCTATGGAACGAACATTCATTGACCTTTTGCTTATAAAGTAAATGTCCTTTTGCAGTGAACATTGGCAAGATGAAAATCTCTGGCTTAGATTTTGAAGATGAAACTGAATGAAAGCGTTTACGGCAAAATGTTATTGGATCTGTTGATTCTTCATCTCATCCGACTGTAAATTATTCCTCAGTTGCACTGCCGTTTCTAGCTCATGAAAGCGTTTAATTCGATGTCATCTTATCCTCATTGTCCATTTCAAATCAACAAATTAAAAAAAATGCAGTGTTTGTACCTAGAGGTGGCAATCGAATCAACCGGATCGGTTTTGGGTTGGATTTTTTCGGTTCGGATATCTTTCGGTTATATGTTATAATCGGTTCGGTTCGGATCGGTTAAATTTCGGTTCGGATTTGATTTCGGTTCTATTCACTTTTCGGTTCGGTTCGGATACAATTTGAGTCGGATATATTTCGGTTTCGGGTCTAGTTCGGTTCGGATGTATTTCGGTTTCGGATCAAATATATTTTGGATATATATTATTTTCTAATTAAAATTTAACTATCCGTGTTTCTTTTTATGTTTTATCACATTTATCAATCTATCATCAATTCAATACCTCATATTATTTTATATTTTTTTCTAGTTATATTATCTCTACCCTAAATAATCTTCCCTTTTTGACTGTTTAGTCATATTTTACAAATTTAGACTACAAATTATGAAAACATATATATTTAATTATGATATAAACTTAATATAATTAAATTGATTTTAAAATTTAGTTTTGAAATATCAAATTTTTCTCACATCTACTAATATACTTATGTATATAAATGAAAGGATAAAAGATAAATTCAAATAGTCTTATGTTCCATTTGAATACAATTTGGTAAAAATTGAGTAAAATGGGGTGAAATTAAGTGAATTTTTTTCAATTGAGTGCAAAATTTGTAAATTATTGAGTATATTTAGTTGAAAATAGAGAAAATTAAATTTAATAGAGTCAAATATAATTAATTTTACACCTAAATGTAATGGTGTAGATCAAATTTGAAAATGATAACAGTAAAGGCTGCCGCTAGAGAGTCTTTTCAAAATGCTAACACTAGCATCTAATTTTATTGACTAATATTGAGTGAATTGGTTTGAACTAATCACATTAACTCTCAAATCAATAAAATTTATTGTAATGAGATGAAATTAGAATAAAATCTAATTATTCCATACAATTCATCATATATTCCTTTCGTCCCAAAAAGAATATCACACTTTACTATTTAAAAATTACGGAAATTTTATTTGTTTGTGCGTTATCATTTATATATATAACTTATCTTTAATTTTTACATATAATAAATTTAAGGCATAAAATTTTGTACTTTTTTTCAAGAAGATAATCCATTTTATGAGGGAATGAGCAAGTAATGTAATTAGTTCAAATGGTAAAATAATAGTAAAAATTTAAAAATATAATATGCTTATTGAAAGGCAAACATACTTCTGAATTTATCGATTTTAGTTCTAATCGGGTTCGGATATTATCAGTTTCAGATCTAATCGGTTTCGGATTTTATCGGTTTTGGGTATTATCGGGTTCGGATATAATCGGTTTCGGGTTTAATCTGTTCGGGTATTATCGGTTTCAGATCTAATCGGTTTCGGATTTAAATCGGATATGAATTATTTAGTTAGGTTTCGGTTCGATTCGGATCATTTTGGGTTTTCGGTTATAGATCGGATCTTCATTTTTCGGGTCATTCTGGTTTCGGTTTCGGATATTTCGGTTCGGGTAATCGGTTCCGGTTCTGTTTTGCCAGGTCTATTTGTACCGGATAAATTGTTGCAAAGAAAACTTTTTATTTCGCTTAGCTTCTAGCGTCGCAAAATAAATTCCTTTTGTTCCAAAAATTAATTGTTACTCCGTATTTAACTGATATTGAGACTTGGCTGATATTCCCTTTTCGAACAACGCGTAAAATTTTGTGATCTTTAAAACTATTGTATTTATAAATTAATATGAAAATAAAAATTATTTGATAAAATTTACATGTTTAAAACTACATAAAAAAGTTATGAGCAATGCTAGGGGTATACCAAAGGTGTATCCCATTTGTCCCCCACCCCTTTCTCTATCACTCATTTTTATTTTATTTTTATTTATTTAATTTTTTTTAGTCTTTTGCCTATTTATATGGACAAGGAGGGGGGTGGGGGGACAAATGGAGTACACTGGTGTACCCCCTAGCATTTTTCAAAAGTTACTCCGGGGTATTTCTTATTGTAAGAAAAATATATGCAATGGGACTCTCGGTGGTGGTTTCAGTAATAAGAACAACAACAACAACAACTCAGTTGAATCCCCCACTACAGTAGGGTCTAGGGAGGGTGTGTGTACGCAGACCTTGCCCCTACTCGGAAGTAGGGAGACTGTTTTACAATAATAAGAAGTGAACAAAAAATCAATGATGGAGATTTACAATGACTAGGAAAGGAATATAACCATCAACTGAGGTCTGTTCTGTAGCGTACGAATTCAACCTGCCTTAACAACAAAACACGTACCGAAAAAATAAATAATTGAATACCCCACAGACACAGCATGCAGACATACTCCTATGGACCCAAAAGAAATAATTAAGCTGTATATATTATTTCTTGTTTGTTCTCAATGAATTTCTATTTTCTTTTAAAAAATAATTATTCCATATACTCCCTATGTCTCTAAAAGATTGCTATAGTTTGACTGTTTTGGTCAAACTGTGTCTCTCTTTGACCATAAATTAAATAAAGTTTAAAATCATTCAATATTATAAAAATTTAATATTTCAAAATTATATTTTAAAATAAACCCAAGTTTACTAAATTTACATTATACCTAAATATACTTTTTTCATAATTTGCGGTCAAAGAGTGCTATAATTTGACCAAAAAAGTCAAACTCTCGCAATCTTTTAGGGACGGAGATGGTATATAGTACAAGTACTCCCTATTATTTATATCAATTTGCTCTTCTTGGCACGATTTTTAATCCCTCATCTCATACGGAGTATTTTTTAGAGTTACATATACTCCTAGTCCCTAAAAAAATTTAGAAATTATGTTTTTTGTCCCTCTAATTTTTAAATTAAATCATTCGTACTAACTCTGTTCTAGTGTATTTGTTCAATTTGAATTTTTCGAATCAAACTGGATAAAATTTGAGCTTCAATTACTCTCAATTTGTATCGCATATACAAAAATTTAAAAATTTTCAACCAGATAAGTCTAATAAAATCATTTATATACTAATATACATTACATTTTTTTGTTTAATTAAACTAAAAATTCATCATGTTTAAATTTAAAAAGTCAAATTAGATAAATATACTAAAACGACAGCGTATAATTTTTTAGAAATCACCCTAAATAGGACTAAAACATAGAGAAAAATATCAAAATAGGATTTTCATGTTTTTTTCCCTAGGACTTTGCACTACGGTAATGTGACTTTGCTCTGTTGTAATGTGGCAGTGTACATGTGCAAATTACTATACTTTTTTGGTAATGTATATGACCATGTATGGTAATGTAAGTCTTATTTCGGGAATAAAAACATGGAAGTCCTATTTTGGTATATTTTCAATGTTTTAGTCCTACTTTGGTCTTTCTCCCATAATTTTTTTGTTTTCTTGTTGCAAATAGTCTTCTCCCAATTTAAAACTCAAACTGTCTTTCATAATTCATTATGGGCGCGCGCGTGGTTAATGACGTCCACCTCTCACACCCATTTGTTGTTTGATTGGCAGCTCAATAATTAGTACTCCGTATCAAGCTAGGTGTAGACCACATACGATTTGATAATATGTCTCATTGAATACTCAATGTTTGATTTCTATGTATAAATATACTAAAGTAAAAAAGAATCAGAATCATGGATTCATGGTAGATAATATTTATAGAATACTAAAATAAACAACAAATAAAGAATAATATAATACTCATATTTTTAACATTCTTAATGTTCCTGTACACAGATGATTGGTACCGAGAAGCAGCTTGGAGCACATTTACTGGAATGAAGCTGGCGGAAGAAATTTTGAGATAGCCAATGTAGAGAGGTAGATCTTCTTGCATGACGAACAAGCTTGGAAGAATATTTATTGATGAGTTCTTTTCCAAGGATAGTTTTGGCGATTGGAACGAGGGCGTTAAATTGTTTTTTTTCTCCTTGTGAGTTGTTCTTCGCTTCTCTTTCATTTTGCATGTTCTCGAACTCTAGAAGAAACACAAATAAATGCATCTTTTCATTTGTTATCACGCACACGATTTTTTGTTGGACAGAGAGAGAGAAAAAGGCGACTGCTAGGCAAGCTCACAATTGGAGAAAAAAGAGAAGGATAAGGGACGCTGACTGTTAGCTAGGTACGCTCGTCGGGATTGACGATGGCTGTTAAGCACGCACATTGTTATTTTGGAGAGGGAAAAATTCTTGATCCGTTACCATGATACAATTTGATACTTCCTCCGTTCTCAACAGGGCCGGTCCCGAGGATTCATCAGCCTGGGCCGAAACAGAAAAAAGGCCCTAAAATTTTCCTCTTCAACATGTTCTTGCTCTATTTGTAGATGTTCTTGCTCTTCCATCTCTTTTACTTCTACTTATTCGTCTTCAGCATTATGTTTCATAAATTTATATAGAACTCCGGCTTGAGACTGTCTCATTTCTTCATCTCATTTTCTCTTTTTTCTTTTTTGACCACCGGATGATTGTTTAGAAGTCATAGCTATTGAATTATTTTTGAAATAAAATCCAAATTCATAAATTCTACTAAGTAAAATCAAGAATAAAAAACTTAAAAAGCAAGCAAATAAATAAATAAATCATAACCTAATATCAATTCATCAATTATTCTTTTTTTAATTGTTTTTTTCTTTTTCAGTTTTAATTTTTTTATAAATCATAAATTCATATCAATTCATCAATTTGTAATTTTTTTTTATTTTCAGTTTTTTAAATATAAATATATCATTATCATAAATAACAAATTCAAATCAATTCATCCAAATCAAATAAATAACATATAGAACCATTCATTCATTCTATTTCAAAGAATGAAATTGAAGATTTCAAATTAAAAACTAATAATTAACTATAGATTTTAAATCTAAAAAATGAAACAATGAAAGAAAATTAACATTTAAGAAATAAAAATTACAAAATCGGAAATCTACTAGAGGGTGGAGCCGTGCAGGTCGGCGACTCGGCGTCTGGCAGTGGAGGCGGCGGGCGGCGACTCAGCTCTCTTCTTTCTTCCGGTCCGATTTCTGAGTGTTCTATCGGAAGCTTTTCTTCTATCCGATTTTTGCTACAAGCGGAGGAATTGAGCCATTGAGGGGTAATAACTTGGGTCAGTTAGGTGGGTCATGGGTGGACTGGGCCTGGGAAGCTGGGCTTATGTACATATATATAATACTTTTAAAAAAATTTTGTGCCCCTAATATTTTTGGGCCCGGCCCGGACGGACACCTTGTCCCCCTATTGGGCCGGCCTTGGTTCTCAAAAATACTTCCTCTTTCATTTTTTTCACTTCCAACAAAAAACTTTCACTTTCTATTAAAAAATCACTTTTACCTTTACTTTTTCATACCCTATCTATCACATCATACTTTTTTTTCTAATAATATACCATCACATCTTACTTTTACCCATCACAACAAGGGCAAAATTGGAAGTCAACTATAATTTAACACTTCCTTATTTTTCCACTTTTTCAAAGTAGGAACTCTTTTTGAGAACGGAGGGAGTAATAATTAGTCATAATAAATAATAAGATTCCATCCGTAGATACAAGGCCGGCCCTAGAATTTAATGGGCCTTAGGCCAATTAAAAAAATGGCTTCTCTTATAATTATTTTTAGAAAAGAGTAATATCATTTGATGAACTAAAATGATTGAGTGTGTCATATTATTATTGTACTTCATGTATTTACTTAAAATCTAAAGCTTAAAACCCTAAACTGATTATTTTTACAAAAGAAAAAATAATTATTAGCCTCCTTATGAAATGGGCCCTAGGCGACAGCCCCCTATGCTTACCCCAGGACCGGCCATGCCTAAGTAAAGAATGCAAGAAAGAATCATAATTATGGTAGAATAACAATTATGAAAGTAATAGAATAAGAAAGCAATAAAAAAATAATACTCCTAATATTCTTAATATTCCTAATAATATCATTTGGTGTATACAATTTTGTACACCATAATTTTATATCTGCACATTGATATTTCATACTAGAACAAAATATCAGTACAAAATTATACAAATGCATAAAATATAAGCTATCAAAGTGCAGTTGAAAAACCGTACCTGGTGTACAAAATTGATGTATAAGTAGCATTATTACAAAAATTATCATCCCATCCTCAATTCGATCTCTGATCTCTCCCATACATGGTTCCCCTCTAAATTAAGATGCCCTCTTATCCAATCCTCAACCTTCCCTTCCCAAGGTCTCATTTCTTTTTCTTGTACTACGGTAACTTGTTTATATAATACAGCTTCAATTCTTTCCCAAGCTAAGGTCTCATGTATATCTTTGATATATTAATTTCTCATAACTTATGTACATATGTATAGGTAGCTTTTCTGACATATAATGTTTACGTATGTATGTAAATATGCTAATAAACTTGATGAAGGTGGGTCGTTAGTATACTGCGACGACGAAAATCAGTTGAAACTGACGCCGGCGACGGCAATTATGAGGAAAACCCGGCGGCGGTGTGGACGGAGTGCTATGCTTGCACGCAAGTGGGTGTTCCGGTTTTCCACTCCACTAGTTGCGACGACGCGCACCAGCCCGTGTGGGAAGCATGTGCCGGTTCGTCTCTTATTCCCATTAGAAACAAGCCCGGTTCGTCGTCAGTACTAGTCAGCGCTCGGAACCGCCAGCTGTCTGGACCTTTCGGGCGCGTGTTGGACCCTCGCAGCAAGCGCGTGCAGCGGTGGAACCGGGCGTTCTTGTTAGCACGTGGCCTTGCCTTGGCCATCGATCCCCTCTTCTTCTATGCCTTATCCATCGGCCGCGAGGGGTCGCCGCGCCTGCACATGGACGCCGGTCTCGCGGCGGTCGTCACCGTCCTACGCACGTGCCTCGACGCCGTGCACATCTGCCACCTTTGGCTGCAGTTCAGACTGGCTTACGTGTCCAGGGAGTCGCTGGTGGTCGGCTGCGGGAAACTTGTTTGGGACGCGCGCGCGATTGCCTCCCATTACGTTCGCTCGCTCGATGGCTTCTGGTTCGACGCTTTTGTCATTCTTCCAATTCCTCAGGTGAGTACTTTTTGAAGTCATTAACTCTCCTAAAATTTCAAACATTTCTTCATTTGAAAATGTTAGGTTGGAGACTAAGTTTCTATCATAATTGATGTTTGTTCAAGTTTTAAAAAAATGATACTTACACCCCCCTCCCCCAATTTGTGACTTTTTTAAATAAGAATATTTTTTATTATCAAATAATCAATAAAATTGTACAAAGAAATCAAGATCATGAGAATTCTATGGCCAAAGCTGAGACGAGTAAAAACTAAAAAGCCTTAAAGGTTTCTCTAATGGCCTAACAAATTAAATATGCAATCTAATTATATTTAAACAACAATTAACTTAATAATATTATAACAAAATGAGTAAACAATATAAATTATAGTAAAGAGTTTATATATTCTTCACTCTCCAAACTAATGTTCTAAAAATCAGACTAGACATTGACCTAGACGAGTAGGTGGTCAAGGGTTAATCAATCTATCTAGAAGTCAACGATCCGATCAACTATAATTAAAATAATAATATTTTATATTATATTCTAGATATTTTTAATTAATAGGAAATTCTAATTTGTGTTTTTCACTCTTCCATCTAGTATTCAATATCATTTTGCATGTCATCACAATATCTATTTTCTATTTGTACTTTTTTTTATTACTACTGAATATCTAATAAATACTAAAATAGTAAGGCAATGCTAGCTCATATTTTTAAAAAAGTAAAGGTCAGGTAATGTGTTCTTATATAATACTCCGACCCATAATCCATATGTAACACTTCAGTCCATATTTATCCTAACGCGTGACATACGTAAGAACGTGTTTAGTAGCTCAAGTAGATGAAGTATCTCCCATCTCATTGAAGTACTCAGGTTCATCACCCACTTTATACTCTAATCCGGTAGGGCTGCTCGGCCCACTACCTGACTGACCCTGAAATAAAACAAAGTTCTAGTTAATTTTTGAATAATGAAGAGTCAAGATAATTGATATAATACATCAAATTACAATCCCGATTCCCAAATTTTAATTATTATCCAATGTTCCCAAGAAATTTGGGAATTAGAGATGGATTATGAATAAGGACACAATTTAAGACATGGGAATTGTGTCAGGGGTAATTAAAAGCACAAAACTAAGATGTTAAGTATTAGTAAATGTGTTATTTGAAATAATTAAAGTACGAATTACGTTTAAGGATCCTCTTTGAAATAAAATTTTGTAAGGATGACTTTCACGGTAAAAAAATTATTGAGACAAATTAAAATACATATAAAGGTCACCTATTTTATACGGACTAAAAATATATTTAACCCTAACGAAAACAATAATCATTAAAATAATACTCCCTGCGTCGCTATTTTGATTACAATATTATCTTTTCACATACTTTAGTATTATGTCAAATCAAATTTTTCTTTTCCCAAAATATCCCTAATCAATAACTAGCCTCATATCTACTTTTTGCACACATGGTGGTGGGGATACAAAAAATGGGTGTATTTTTGTCTTAAAAATTTTCAAATGTTACCAAAGTAGAATATTGTAATCTATTTTGGGACAATAAAAAGAAAGAATATTGTAATCAAAATAGGAACAAGGGAGTAGTAAATTTAATAAGGATAAAAATAATGAAAGAGGATTGAGCAAAAGAAAACAAAATACGGAGTATCCCGTACATGATACTCCCTATATACGTCTCCGAGTATTTGTTTACTTTTGACTTTTTTGTCAAAATTGGTAAACTTTGACCTCAAATAAAATAAAAATGATATTAGATATTGATACAAAACTAGTTTCATCAGTTTTATTATATACTATCTAATTACTATACAATATATATTTTATTTGGTTATAGGTCAAAGGTTGAAATTGATCTATTAGAAAAAGTCAAAATTGGACAAATACTCAGGGACAGAGGTAGTAAGTTATCAAATAAATACTTGGATACTCTATAGCTAACCTCAAACAGTTTAGTCCGTGATAATTATTTTTATATTTTTGTATCCTGGTCCTCCTCCATTTGAAATCTGTTTGGGTTCGGTTAAAACAAATCCCGCTTAAAACGCAACAAAGAGTTTGGTATTATTAGGGTCGGGTATCATGCAAGTTCTATTTTTCTTTGTCCACCCCTAATAATTTCAATAAAAAACCATTTAAAATACCATAGTATTTCTAATTTTGCATTTATTTTTCAGAAACTGTTGAAAAATTGCACTCCGGATTCATTTGGGTGCATCTATTCCTATTTGCACACTGTCCCTAGTCTGTTTGGGTAAAGCAATTGTATCATTGTTTTCTCTCAGCTTTGCATTCTTTTTGAGAAATAAGAAAAAAAATGTCATTCATTTGTATGTGATGGTGTCCCATAAGAGACATTAGGAAAGCATTTTCCCTATTAAAAAACAGAAGAAGAAAACGTTAATAGTTGACCAATAAAAATAGAGAACGGATCCTTTGACCTTGAAACCAAAATCATTTTATGCTCATGGTTCCTAGCCCCCAAAACCCCCTGCCCCACCCCCTTAAAATGTCTTAGGGAGGGTTGGGGTAGGGTGCAATGGGTTAGAGAGAGGAATCATCAATTTTACCAACAAACAGTGTAGGTGTCCCGAGTCATAAAATGTCTTGGGTTTGAAGGTCAAAAGATCCCTGCCGAGAAAAATAATGTTCCTTTGATGATTGTGATATATGTATATATGCAGGCAGTGTTTTGGTTGGTGGTACCAAAATTGATCAGAGAAGAGCAGGCGAAGCTGATAATAACCATTCTTCTACTTATCTTCTTGTTCCAATTCCTCCCAAGAGTCTACCACAGCATATCCTTAATGAGAAGAATGCAGAAGGTCACTGGCTACATTTTTGGCACCATTTGGTGGGGATTTGCCCTCAATCTTATTGCCTACTTCATGGCTGCCCATGTAATTAATTACTTAATCCCATATATACTATGTTTTTTTTTTGTTTTCATCGGAGATGATGATATATTGCATCAATTTGTTTTTCGTTTTCATAAATTTCTTTTGAAAATTACAGCTAGCTGGGGGATGCTGGTATGTACTCGCCATTCAACGAGTTTCTGCGTGCCTTGCGCAGAAATGTGCTGGGAAAAAAAGGGCATGTCATCTCCCCCTGTCCTGTTTGGATGTTGATGGACCATTTGGTTATGGAATATACAAATGGGCTCTTCCTGTAGTTTCCAACCAATCTGTTGCTGTCAAAATTCTTTACCCCATCTTCTGGGGACTCATGACTCTTAGGTAATTAACACAATTCAATGCGAATAATTATAAAACGATTATTCACAAGCTAGGTAAGGGCAACCAACCAATGTGGTAGCTCAGATGGTTTAATTTCTATCAAATTTCTAAATTAAATTCATTAATCGGTGCCGTATAAACAGCACATTTGGTAATGATTTGGAACCAACAAGCAACTGGTTGGAAGTCATTTTCAGCATATGGAATGTGCTTAGTGGTTTAATGCTGTTCACCCTATTGATTGGGAACATTCAGGTAGGTAATTAAAACTGCTTTCTTAGCTTACATTTTACAATGACGACGACTTACATGTGATGATAGTATACTTTTGATGTGCTAGGCTAGGCCTGAAGCTAGCTAGCTAAGAGTTGGAACGTGTATTATTATATATAGGTATTTTTGCATGCGGTGATGGCAAAGAAGCGAAAAATGCAACTGAGGTGCAGAGATATGGAGTGGTGGATGAAGAGAAGACAACTTCCGTCAAAATTGAGACAGAGAGTGCGCCATTTTGAACGCCAACGATGGTCTGCCACGGGCGGGGGTGAAGACGAGATGGAATTGATTAAAGACTTGCCCGAAGGTCTTCGAAGAGACATCAAACGCTTTTTGTGCCTTGATCTCATAAAGAAGGTATAGTATAGCACGTACAATAATATCACATAAACTACACTACACTACGTCAAACGGTACGTATGTTTATACGAGTTTTCCTCCCTTATGGAATTACTTTTAAGGGAGGTTCCATTACGATGTCAAGGAACCAACTCGAATCAACCAAAAACCTCAAGTTTGTATATGGTTGTAGGCCAAGTCCATGAAAGATTTTTATATATTCTAACGTACAAATTTAAGCCCGACACCTTCTAAAGCGCTACTTAAATATATATATATATATATATATATATATATATATATTTACTTTTTCTTGGACGGGCTACTATTTCCTCTCGCTCCTTTGTATGAATAATTGCAGGTTCCTTTTTTCCACAATTTGGATGATCTCATTCTTGACAACATCTGCGATCGCATTAAGCCTCTAGTATTCTCCAAAGACGAGAAGGTACACACAAAGCGTATTGCAGCTTTGTAAACCATGTCATCAAAAACATTTGAAGCATGCATAAATAAAGTTCTTTATACTTTATAAATGCGTTGTCCAACTTTATATGGTCTTACACAATTTCATTTACTTTATTTCTTGGTAACTGAATAATATGATGAATTGAGGGTTAACTAATACTTATAAATCGGTGCGCTTATTCATTCAACCAATATAAATCACCGAAAACAGATAATAAGAGAAGGAGATCCAGTGCAACGGATGGTTTTCATAGTCCGGGGCCGTGCCAAAAGTAGCCAAAATCTTAGCAAAGGGGTGATGGGCACAAGCATTCTTGAGCCAGGAGGCTTCTTAGGTGATGAACTTCTGTCATGGTGTCTACGGCGTCCCTTCATCGACCGGCTTCCGGCGTCTTCTGCGACATTCACCTGCATTGACCCCATAGAAGCCTTTGGGCTGGACGCGGACCACATTCGCTTCATCACCGACCACTTCAGGTATAATTTTGCAAACGAGAGGCTCAAGTGGACCGTACGGTATTATTCTGCCAACTGGAGGACATGGGCGTCCGTTAACATTCAGTTGGCATGGAGACGCTACAGGATGAGGAGGACAGGTCAGGTAGTGAATGTGACGGCGCCCGTTGGAGACCATGGCGGCGACCACCGCCTTAGACAGTACGCCGCAATGTTCTTGTCAATCAGACCGCACGATCACCTTGACTAGTATCACATGTACAAAATCAAAACTTCATTCAATTTCTTCGATTCTTTTATTTTACTCATTTAATAAAATAGTATAATAATATCATCTCTGGTTCTGTGGAACTTTTATTGTACTTTTTTAATACTCCTATGTAATTTTATTTTTTAATTCCGATCCAATTCTCAAATAGATTTTATTGAAAGCAAATTTACTCAAAGACCGTAAATCGAAACAGACAATCTAAATTGGGACCAACGGAGTATTACTCGTAGTAAAATGAACTTATTACTGTTAATATCGATACAATGAACTTGACTAGCACTGCAGTCACTCATATAACATTACTTCTTGTTTTAATTTTCATGAGTGTCCAATATGCCAATTGTAATTAAATAAATGTATTAAAACTAAAAATGGGTGATCATACATCTAAAATAGGAAAGGGCGTGACTGATGGGATGGGTAATATTAGATTGCCCCATCATTCTCCAAAATAGCAAGGCTAAGAATGAAAGGTACAGTTGACTTACCTGGAAAAGGTTACGAGCTTTGGCAATGGAGTGGTAATGCGGTCTCACTACTAAATACTAATGCCACTTGAACAGTGGAGAGTGGGGGTAAACAAAGAGTAAAATGAAGTCAAATTTTCATTAAATAATACTAAAACATACTAGTATGTCATTTTTTCAATGTAGTACTTAATTTGTTTTATTTCCTAAATAGTATTTGAATAATGTCTAGTAGTAAGAATAATGTCAAGTGATGGTAAACATTTAATTTGAATAAAGTCCAATGATACTCGACATTTACTTGAACAATGACCAATAGTACTACATTGGGAAATTAAAACATATGATACTATATTGGAAAAGTCACTATGTTTTATTACTATTTAGGTAAATTCCCATTAAATGAAATGTACTCTGTATAAAGGAAAAAGCTAGGTGTACCCCAGTAGTTGTACACCACCCTTGTCACAAGCACACACACTGTAACAGTCCAACCTGCACAATCCGAACAAACGAATTAGCGAATCGCATTGGTACTAATTTGGTATTCACATTATTTTAAAAACATTTAGAAATAAAACAAACATTTATATTTATTTAAAAACAGTTCATAAGTTAATCGGAGTAAACAAAATCAAACATTGCGGAAGACTTTAAAAACAACATCCATCTTTCTTATGTTTAAGTAAACTAATTCAATATAATATTTAAATTAAAACAAAATAGCTTTGGTCATCCACCAGCGTTGCGCCTCACGGGGGTTCTTTTTCAAAATTCCCTAAAAACAGAAGACTTTTATCATTCTACCCTAAAACGCTTCATATTTGTTAGCCTACCCTTTCTTTCAAAGTGAAATTACTCTCTTGTCCTCTTATCTTTTTCCCCCAAGCTGTTATCGCTATGTTATTGTTATCAGATCATTACGGCAGCATAGTGTTTCTACCCTAGCAAAGACATTCGTTATTCTCGTTTCGGTGGCGCGCCATTTTTCATCGTTTTCTAATCCAATCGATTGCATACCTAGTGCCTGTCAAACTTACTCCGTCGCCTCTCATCATTCGCGGTTGTTCTCCATCGAACTACTCTGCGCGACTCTGCCTCTCATTGTTCACCGTCTTTCGTTTGTTGTCGCGCGTCGGTGAAAGGCTCTTTCCACGTAAGTACACGTTCATCTAATTGTTACACTAAGGATTATATAATTAAACATAGCCGGCGGAGACATCTAATTGTTACAGTAAGGATTGTATAATTAAACATAGCCGACGGATATCGACACATGTCGACATAATTAGAACGTATGCACAAAGGGTCGACATAATTAAAGTCAAAATCTGATTTGCGATAAAGTCTAAATGTGAATTCCGATCTTAACTGTGGTCGTCTAGATATTTTAGTCGACACTATCTAATTAGTCGACGTATTTGGTCGCTCTAGACAATATATGCCATTATCATTGAGTCGACATATATCTATATGTTTTCGACGATAAGTTTTATATGTCGATTAGATGTTGACAAGTTTTGATGTACTTATGTCGACATTATGAGTTATGATTGTGTCAACGTATATAGATCGGCACATTAATAAGATGTTTACATTTTTAATTCCATTTTCGCGTGCAGATGGTTCTTCCTCTACCTCTCTTCATTCACTGTAGTGGTGAATGTGTTGAAAACGACAAAAGCAAAACTCAGTTTAAATGCAACAAGCAAAGTAAGACACAAGTGATCGAGTGGGATGATGTAATGTAGACTTCAATGCCTTTCTTTTAAGAATCTTGTGTGATGCATGACGGTAAACTAGGGTGTTAACACTCGATGCTAAATCGCTAGTTGTTGTTGGATATTGTGATGACTATTATTGAATATTGATTATGATCAAACCTTGATGGATATTCTGATTAAAATGATGACTATGAATTATTGAACAATGATTCAAAATACATGGATTGATGAGAAATGATATGTATTGTTAATGCTATCTAGAAGACCTCAAAGATAGACATTAAATTAGAATAGGCGTTGCGGGTATAAATATGAATATTCGGTGGCCTAGGTAAAATCGTATGCACGGGATCTGCAAACCAAACTAGAGGGTCACTCGTTTGGGGATACCACCTAACGCGACGGTGAGCATTCCGTTGTTCATTTTCTTGTGTACCGTAAGCTAAGACTAGTTTAAGAGTTAGAAAACCTTTTCAAAAATTATACCTTAAACTAGATTAGCTTAAGAGTTGGTTAGTAGTACCTTAAACTAGAATATAGTTTAGGAGTTGGTTATTATACCTTAAACTAGAATATAGTTTAAAAGTTGGTTAGAAGTACTGTAAATTAGAATTAGTTTAAGAGTTGGCAAATATCAAGAAATTGTTCTTAGACTAAGAAATAGTTTGAGAGCATTGTTGAATACGAATGTTGAATATTGAATGTTGAATCCCTAAACTGAATATTATGTGCATGATATCAAATTATTTCATTATGAATTGAGATTCAATTTATATGAATGTTCGATGTATTAGATATCCTTATTCAGCTTCACCGCTGAACGTGTAGTATGTTTTATTTGCTATGCGCATGCAAACAAAAAGAATAAAGTGACGTATTCCTGGCTGCAATGGAGCGAGAAGGTCGGGATGGATTTGTGAATTTGAATTCTTATTTTAAAGACATAAAATAATTAATTTTGATTGTCATGTGACATGTTTTAATTCGCTTCCGCATTATTAAACACTCCGTATTATTACTGTTTATGTTATAAATACTATTTATATTGAATAAAAATGTTTGAAATATTTTGAATGTTTACGAATAACAAGTTTATACTTTAGTCCGAAAGAGGCTGCAGACTTGGATGGATTAGGGTGTTATAGTATTAATTTTTTTAAATATTGAATTTATAGGGGGGGGGAAGGATATTTTTTAAAAACTTAAACAACTATAATAGCCGTTGGAAGAGAACCCCACTGTATGGACTGTGCGTTAAACCTATGACGCAGGATACCTAACGCCCCGATGAAGTCGCTTGGGGCGGTGTTTAACGCCCCAGGCGTTAAAAATTGAAAAACACCCGAGGGGTTCGGTGTATTTCCAGTGCTCTAAGACCGAAACATTCAGTCCAAATAATTTTACAGTTTCAATGTAAGTATATACTGTAAGAGTGCTTATTTGGTGCACCTTGGTTGCATATCAATTTTGTGGAGCTTCTCACATTAATTTTTTTATTTAAAAAACAAATGTTTATTTAAATCGTAAAAGAACCCATTTTATTCATATATAAGTCTATGATAGAGCTAAGATCCACCTTAAAATTTGCCTTAAAATTCTAAACAATTTAATGGTTTTCGGGTCAAAGCTACTCCGCAGCACTCCCTCCCCACCCGCAAATTATACCGTACAGCCGGCTGTACGGGAAGACCCGTACAGCCGGCAAAAATTAGAGATAAAGAGCAGCGCGCGATCGAATCAAACCCTAGTGCCTCTGATCGGAAAACTAAGGTAGTGCAGAGTTGGAGGCTGGGAGCAGCTCGACGAAGGTGTTGATGAAGATGATGGTGGAGAAGGTGAAGAAGGTGATGGTGATGTGATAGTGGGGAAGATAATTGTATTATTTGTATACCCGATGGAAGCTATTGGTGGGGTTTATGGGAGAAGTGGCTGTAGAAATTTAGTCCGAAATCATTTAGGTTTTGGGTGAGGAAGATGAAGAAGGTGGCAGATTGATTTTAGACTAGGTGTAATGAGCGGTACTTTAATTGAGATTGAACACTACATAATTTGAAAATGAGTATCATTTTGTTTCAGAATGAACACTGTAACGCCCCAAAACATACCCTAGAATTATTAATGAATAAATAGTCAATTAATCAAATTTGTTTTGATTAAAATAAATTATTGTTGGGCTTTGGGCCGATATGAAATGTGTTTTGACATCCAATATCAAAATTTGGATAAGTCTCATAGAGATAAATCCAGTATGTGGACTATTTGTGTGGTCTTCATTGGGAACCTGAGTACAGACCCAAATCAAGAGTAAATAAAGAATTTGTTTAGAATGTAAATATTGAAATGATTTCTTAAAATAAATCATGAGAATAACTGATATAAATTAAATGAGAGAACCTTTATGAGAAAGGTCAATTAAACCAATTCTGACTCTGTCAAAGTCAAACACCCAAAAATATGATGTCAGGAAAAAGTATTGCAAATAAATATGAAAATTATATCATTCAATAGAG